GTGTCTAGGCACTCCTGAGCCTATTGCCTCATAACTGTATATATGCAGTGTGAAATCTAAGGCCCTGTGCCTCTGACTGCTAGTCCTAGGAAACATGAAGAGAGAGTTGGTGATGTCATTACTGCGTTCTCTATGGTGAAGACTCTGATATGAGGAAGCAAAGCCCTGTCCCTGTTAGGGGTCCCTTTAAGGAATATAGTTATTTGCCTGCAAGCAGTCCATAGCCAGGGCTGGATTTACCATTAGGCAGGGTAGGCACGTGCCTACAAGTGCCCTCCATGCAGGGGCACTGTCATTCCAGTAAGCACTCCCAGTGGAAGAAATAGAAGCTGGGCACACTTAGGCCCCGTTCACACTGAGCGATTTATCGCGCGGTAATTCCCGCGATATCGCGGCTATTTACCGCGCGATATCGCTCTCCAATGCTTGCCAATGGGGCAAAGGGTCGTGTGTCGCTACAGCAGGACCCTTTTTGGAGCGGATTTTGCCGCGATTCTAGCTTGCTCAATGCAAGCATTTGCGCGATATCGCGCAAAATGCAAATCGTGCAGTATGAGTCTGTTTCATGAAATTGAGAATGGAGCAGTGATAGTACCTCATGTGAAGAGAAAAGTGTGTGGTAGAGGAACAGTATCGGACTGTCTCCTGAAAGATTACAGATGCTGAATTGAGAAAGATGCTAGAAATTATGCAGTAATTAAGCTATATCTACCTGTGACCTCTCCATGGCAAATAGAGAAAGCATCCTGGTTTGAGTGCACTGAGTACAGAGTGATCCATAAAGAGTGAGTTTCTGTAAAAAGAATTATGATCATGATTGTCATGCATCTGGGAGAAGTTATCATGCCCTATCAGCATGGATTGTAACTGGAATGTTTTCCTTTTTTGCATTCTTGGCGTAGTTTTTGCAGGATGGTGCTGTATGGAAGATATTTCAATTCTCTGAATTGTATGTCAAGTTTAGCCCTTTATCTGCTGAGCCTGAAAGAAGTAATCAAAGAGTTCTGGAGAGTTAAACCCTGACGCTTACCCACCTTGGAGGAGTCTGCGAACTGCATGGCAGCTGAGCTTTACCTTCTGAGCTGAGATGGAACAAAACCTTCTATTCTGGGCCAAACTTGCGAGACTCTATTTGACACTAGCCTGCTCTTTCGACTCTATGTTGGAATGGCCCAGTGCCTTCTTGGGCCAATAGAGCTGATGTTGCCAGAAAGTAACACCCCAACTTATGCCTTGGAACAAGTGAATGCATTGTGATGTGATCTTTTTCGAAGTGCTGCTAATGCAAACAGTGTTGGAAGGTTTGTATGTGTATTGGGTACAAGGTATGGCACAGAAATTCACTGAGGAGCTAAAGGACTGGATTACAGCTAATTTCATCAAGAAGGTTAGTTTGGATGAAAGAAGTTGAGGAGCTCCCCACTCAGTAAGCTGTACATGAGCCTGCCACTGATAGCGACTTACAATCCAGATTGTTTACTGTCAACTCTGATGAGATGGTCACTAACACCTTGATGCCTGTTGCTGTAGGATTTTATTCAAATTATACATTAAAATCTCTGCTTAAGGACCGCTATTCAAGATTAAGCTGAAAACTGGTATGTTACACAGGCCACAGATTCCTATTTACCACCTGGGGTGGGAGCAGGAAGGTGGCTAACTTAGAGTTCGCATGTGCAAGGCTTGCATGCACTTACATGTAAGGCTTGAGCATGGGTAAGAACTTCCATGCATTTTCTAAAGGAACTTTTTTACAAGTGGGAGAAACAATGTCACGAAATTTATGACATAGCCGTCTGGGATTATCTTGGGGTGCCAAAAGTCTTTTTAGCAAAGGTAACCCCATGAACCAAAAGTTGCACAAGTACTTTTTGGAATTTAGTCTAGAAGGCAACTTCCCGAACAACAAAGTCTTTATTGTAAGACCATCTGGATCTAATCTAAAATAGTTAAACTTGATTAAATGGGCACACATTTGTCCACACACGTATCCAACCTTCTTGACTAGCATTGTAAAATGTTTTCTCAGACTCTCTGTCTGTGTCCCTGTTGGGAAGATTCACTCTTATTGTCCCTATCACCAATGTTGCTGGGAATAAAAGTGGGGGTAAACACCAAGTTTTGAGTTGCCACCAGGTGACAACTATGAGGTGCTTTTCTTCATATTGAAAATATATCCTCTTCATTCCTGTTGATTCTACAGGACAAGAAGTGAAGGGAATTCTCCCTAATGAGACACAGACAGAGAAAAAACTGACAGCAATTTTAACCCTCTGCTACGCTATCCAAATTGTTTTGTTAAGTTTTGGCTTTAGATATAACTTAGGTTCTGCAGTATATTGAAGCCCAAGCGCTGTGAACGGATCTTGATACTGAGTGGTGTGTGTACAGGATTGTTAGGGGTGCTGCCCCACTTCAGCCAGGGGAACTGTGGAACTGGAAAACAAAAGAAAAAGAAGGGCATTCTGAAGAAGGGGGCATTATCCCGGAAACGCGTCAACGACGCCACAATCCAGTGGCACACAGGCTGATTGCAGTCCTGAAACTGCTGTATCCTCGAAACCATTCTGAGTACCCTTGCACTCTATATTTGTGTTTTTTTAAAATAAAAAATCATCTGCACTAGGATGGGTGCCCTTCTTTTTCTTTTGATAACTTAGGTTCTGCCTGCATCTGTCACAAAGAACAGAAGGGGTCCCTTTTGTCCAGGGATATTCCAAAGCTTACCTTGGTTGGCTTAGCAGAAAAACAATAATTCACACTGTGCAGTGTACAAATCCAGTATTCAAACCCCTAAAATAGTGTTCTATAGCTTCATTTACTGTATAGGCTATAATCAATTTATCTATCAATTTATTTAACTAGCACTGTTTATTTAATGATCTTAGTTCTTAGTTTATTAAACTTACTCTCATGTATATTAGAAGCAATTCTATTTAAAAAAAAACCTGTACCAGTTTTAAAAACACAGCGATGCATCACCGACTCCATAAGGGCATATTTATTGAAAACATTCAACTATTGGGCCATACAATGATGTAGATATAAAGTGCATTTGAAGGTCTGATTTAACTGCTTGTTTACTATTCTAGGTCATAATACCTAGGCTCTATTTCACTGTCATTAGTGAAAAATCTAGTTTTCAGTAACCTAGATTGAGAATTAACCAGTTTTAAATTCATAAGACCTGATTCTCTAGTTGATATTACCGATTTAAAGAAGTCAAATTGTTTCTGCACACTTGATTCTGAACATTCACTCCCCACGCCTATATAACAAACTTACCTGTCCTTCGTTCTGGGCTTGGCACAGGGATCCACTTTCTCTCCTGCGCCGTCATGCGGCTCCTCCCTCCTTGTCGGCTTAAGCTGCGAAACTCAATTGTCCGGCGTTCGTGCAAGTGAGTAGACACTGGGCAAGCTTTCCCCCACACCTTCTCGCTGAACCGCCACACAAAGAGTGGGCTGCTCTCTCTCTCACCCTGACCAGCATCCATTACCTCTGATTCTATCCATCCTCTTCTGGATTTCTCTTGCATGCTCTGGAGAGTGACTCCTTCCCAGCAACTCCCACCTCTCCGCACTGAATACTACTGCCTTTGCTGATCTGTGCCTGATAGCTCAACAACTCTGTATCTCTGTCCTCAGTCGTCTCCCAGAGCAACTGTACCACCTTCTACTCCAAACGCAAGATTACTTGGGTATATAGCTGAATGTGCAGCAGATCTTAACCTCCTAAGGACTTCCACTTCTAGAGCTTCCAAACACAAGTGCTTTTTACATGACACCTTTAAAGACTATTATTTACTGTTTGTATGCTATTCCTGTTGAAGTGACGTAACTTCTGCAGCTAATGTGCATTCAAACCTGTGCTTCTAAGACTCTCTGTTATTACCTGATAGTATTAACGCTAACAGAATATCCCTTGAGTGGGTCATAATTGAGTTCTCTTTTTCAAAACTGCAGCAACTGAAGGGGAACTCTGGCTCCGCACATATATATAGCTGGGATCCATATTAAGACAACCCATAATTACCTGGACTGTTACAGCATATTAGTTAGATATCCAATGCTACGCATATAAAAATGTTAGCCTTATAACTGTTTGCCCACTGCAATCAGCCCAAATTAATAATATAAATAGCATGAATCTGTAGGGAAAGTGGTCAGTGAGTGCTAGCAAATGCAGGCAAACCTAGGCCTCAAGATGTGCCTCCATTTGCCTACTCTTGATAAACATTGCTCTTAATTAGTGAAGCAAAGATAAAGATAAAAACCCTGCAACCAGCACCAAGTCACCGTTAAAGCAAATATTTTTAAAGTTAAGGCTTGCCATAATATATAACTATTGTATGTACTGTATTATTTAAGATTATTTGGCTATATCACCTAATTAAGGCATTAAAGAAACCCTTTTAGGATTGTAAGTTATTTACAGGGCTCATGTGCATAGATATTTAATATCATGTCTAAGCAAAATTCCTTTCGTAATATAAGACATGAAGCAGTAGTCAGCTGTTAACTATGGATCAATGGTTCTGTCTGCTCCTTGTAGCTTTGGTATATATAAGAGACAGATATATCAAGTAATATTCACCTCCATCTACAACACTGATCTCTACTTAAAGTCTACATTTAATAGATAGCACTAACTCTTGATATAAGGTCTTACACAGCAGTACTGTGCACATAATAAAAAACGGTGTTGTTATAAAGAAAGGTTCAGTTCTGGAAAGTTCCAAAAAAGTATTACTAGTATAACCTTATCTAAATATATATTCTCCTTGTTCTCACATCCCCAAAATGATAACTACATTGAGTCAAATTTAGGATTTTTACAGTTTGGGTTAATGGAATACTGTCTACAAACTGTGTGAACTAATATCGGTTTCTGAGTGGGAATCACCTAGGTTCCTACTTAATAAAAGGAAACTACATTTTTAATTGTTTTTGTAGCCTTCATCTTAAACAAAACATTCATTAGTTTAGAGCAACTGCCTGGAACTGACCCTTTTTTCACACAACTGCAGGACTTAGGTCCAGAAATTATGTCTGATACCACCTCACATATTAAAAGCTTATGCTTACAGATTGGTTCATGGTCTTTCCCACCACACATCCAGCAGTTTCCAAACTCTGATTTCCAGTAGAAGATGAAGATGTCTCACTGAAGCTTTCTATACCTGGCTGCAGTTCTGGTAAGTTCGTCACAATCCCAGGAGAAAATGGAATTTCAATCTGTTGGGGAGGCTTCATAGTGTATTCTGGTATGCTGGTAGGTGGCATTTGTTGAAGAAACATTCTGCTGTCTGGTACTGAATCTGGGGTCACAAAGGCCTGAGAAAATGTGCCCTCCACATTAGAAAAAGTTTGCCCTGGCATATTTTGAAGAAACATTCCACTGCTATTGGTAGATCCAGGATATACATAAGGGCACTGGCCTTGAAAGTCATTGACTGGACTTTGAGGTTGAGAGTAACTTGAAGGATACACCAAAGGAGGCTGAACATGTCCAGACATTGGCTGGGGAAAGATGGTTCCTCCTTGATGGATTCCTTGAGGCTGTGTGGTAGCTGCTGATGCCACTGGTAACAAAGTTTGAGCCATGCTCATAGCCAGAGATAAGACATTAGCCAGGGAAAACATGGGTGTGGTTGGAGACCACTGGGTGGCTGCTGGGACATTAGAAACTAAAGCACTATTCATAGTTTGTGACACCATTCCATTTTGCATCATTTGTTGCAAGGTATTTCCATGACTAACATGTGGAGTCATCATGCTGGGAAGAAAGGTATTTGGAGAGTTCTCATGTCCTACTGAAGATGAAGGCATCATATGTGGTGGTAGGGAGGAGAGGTAGTTACTGCTATGCACTGAACTGAAAGCTGTTGGTGGGAAGGTGTGGGAAGATGGCATGGAAAAGCTTGTTGAAAAAGGTACAGCAGGACTAGATGTAGTTTCAAAAGAAGGCCAGGTTCTATTTGCAGCCACTGGAGAACCTACATGAGCAACAGACCAGAGTTAGAAGTTAAAATAAAAAACATGAAATAACACAGTGACTCTAAAAGGTACCTATCATGTAAAGCAGTGGTTCACAACATTTCTAGGGCCGATACTGAGCATTTGGACATTTGGTACTCATACTCGCCCAAATGCTCTGAAACCGGAGCTGCCAGTCACAGGGAGATTCCATGCACCCTTGCAACACTGCTGGTCAACCTGGCTTCCTGACCAATCAGGAAGAAGGGCGGTGGGTCATGACCTGCAACCCAGCTTCCTCATTGGTCATGAAGCCAGTATGCAGTGCAGTGAAGGACCATAAAGACCTCAAAAAGGAGGAATCCAGGGAAAAGTTTTGCAACTCCACCAAAGCCCCCCTTCCAGAGCTGCTGGGAGAGGATGACCTTCTTCTAGACACCTCCCAGGCCCCAGTTTGTGATTTATTTATTTTTTGGAGGGTGTTACGACACAGGGAGCTCTATCCATCAGAGATCATTCAGCTGCCTACCATGACATAGGAAAGGTGAGTGAGCAATGTACACTGTGCAAAGCTTCTTTTCCCAGTGCAAAGTCCAGACACAATCCAAGGCAGGAGCCTGGACTGTATACATGGCCAGCAATCACATCATTATCATGAGCACATTCAAACTTGCCTTGTCTCTGCTGCTCCCCGGCCACGGCTGCTGCAGTGGGAGAACTAACACTACTGCACTAGAGGGGGGTTAAGGAACCTATCACCTAGCGTTGCAGAAGGCCCACAGCAACCCACTCAAAAGGGGGTTGCGACCCACTTTTGGGTCGCGACCCACAGATTGAGAACCACTGATGTAAAAGTACCAAATGTTATAGTTAAGAGTAGTAAATTATTACAATACAACTTGTAAGAAATTAATTTAGATTAAATGATAAACATTGTATCTCTTAATTAAAATGGTCCATGCTCAAAACGTATATTAAGCCTAAACTTTTATCTTTAGTTTTCAATACAATGTGAAATAGACATGTAAATGTTGTTTTGTGTGCCGATTGCAAAAGTGGACGAATTTTCATGTATGCAACCGAATTTCTGAATGAAACAAATACTGAATGCATAAGAATCCAAGTTTTGTGGTAACAAAAATCCAGATGCATCCGAATGCCATCCACACTACTGTTCACAGTTAAAATAACAAAAAATAAAAAAACAGCGTGCGGCCCCTTTCCCCATCCACACCAGACTCTCTAGGTCTGGTAGGAATTTTAAGGAAGGGCTCTATACAAAAAAAAACCGTGGGGTCCCCTCTAAAACCCCTACCAGACTTTTAATCCAAGGAGCGGCCCTGCGGAGCAGTAAAGAGGGGGGGGGCCAGCTTGTGCCCCCCTCTGCGCCATACCAGCCTACTTGCCTTTGCCCCACAACCCTGGCAGGGTGGTTGTGGGGGTCTGCGGGCAGGGGGGCTAATATGAATCTGGTTGACCCCTTTATCAAAATGTTTGACAATTCCTTTATTAAAAAAAAGTCCCACAATGTAAATCCAGCGTTGATCAAGTCGTCCAGCAATGTAAATCCTCCTGATCCTCCATGCCGGACACCCACCGACCCGACGAAACAAAAAATCCAGCTTCTCACCGCCTTGAGAGAGTCTTTCTTTTAATCAGGCAGTGGGCGAGAAAGAAACAGCCTGACATTGGCTATTTTAAACTGCACTAGCAGGCTGGCTATTGCACCCACCTGATGCCTGATGTCAATCCACAGAGGAGGACCTGCAGGAGGTCCGCTCCTCTGCAGGGGCAATAGCCATCCTGCTATTGGCTATTTCAAATTGCAATAACCGATAGCAGGTTGGCTATTGCACCGCCCACTGCCTGCTGTCAATCAGCAGAAGAGCGGACCTGAGAGAGATTTTTTGTTTCGTTGGGTCAGCGGGTGTCGGGCATCAAGGATTAGTAGGATTTACATAGCTCGATGCTGGATTTACATGTTGGGACTTTTCTTGTTTTTAATAAAAGAGCTGTCAAAAACTGTGTTTTGTGTTTACTATTGAATGTTTATTTGGTGAATGAGTTGGGGTAACATTTCCCCTTTACTCATTCACCTGGAGGGGGGGTGGCATCTGGGTGCCCCCTGAATCAAAGGGGCACCCAGATTCCTATACGCCCCCCTGCCCGCAGACCTCCACAACCACCAGCCCAGGGTTGTGGGAAAGAGGCCCTGGTTCTCATCAACATGGGGAACCTACCCCATTTTGAGGGCAAGTAGCCTGCTATGGTGCAGGAAGGGGGGTGCACGCTCATCCCCCCTTTCCTGCTCTGCCGGGCCACTGTTCAGATCAAGGGTCTGGTCAGGTATTTTAGGGAGGACATTGTATTTATTATTTTTTTTTTTTTTTTAAACATCCAAATGTATGAAATTAAAAAAATAAAATTCTGATTTTTTTCTGAATACGAATAATGAGTGGATCCACATATTACGAAAAGGAAAAAAAAAATCTCACTGAATCCGAAACTAAACACATTTTTACCAGGTTTACATGTCTAATGTGGATTGATTAAAAATCCTGCCTTTTTTGCTGTTTGTATCTCATTTAGGAGATTTTTTCAACTTCCTGTCCCAGAGACACAATCGGAAAAGAAAGGAAACTCTATTCAAAGTAAGGAGAAATCACATTTAAGACAGATATCACCAAAAAAGTATACCTATTGCAAGATTTTCTCTCATCCTCCTTTGGCAGAAATAACTGTATAATGCTGGATTCCCCATCATTTTCTGTCCCAGTGACACAGTGATCACTAGGACAAATAAGGTGAATTTGCCCAGTACAGACACAAACAGCAATAAAATGACATTGGCTCTGACCTGTTCCCTTTTTATCCAAAGTAAGAAAAATATGTTGGCTTTAAAGAATGATGTTAATAGTTACTTGCCAAAATTGCTTTCCACCACTGTATACCAGATTATGTTGAGGCTCCTCTTAGTATTCTATAAATTAAGATGCAAATTATCTAAAGCCTGCTATTTTGCTATCACGAAATAAAAACATGCTGAAAAGCAACTGGTAGAATAGTGTATTAGTCAGTGTAAACAGTATATGTCAATAAGGTGGCTCATAGTTCCAATAATAATGTGCACTCCTGCTGTAATCTCTCTCTCTCTCTCTCTTAAAAAAACAAGTATGTTTAAGGACACCTTTCCTTTGCTAATCATAAATTGATTTGAGCGACTGGTGTTTTTTGCTGTAGGGGCTAAACCTGCCTTGAGAGAGTCTGGGCTTCTGGTGTGTTAAAGAGGATGGGGCTACCTCCAATGTAAACCTGTGCTCAAATTACTGCTATTGCTATATAAGGGTCCCAGGTTAGAACTTACTGTATATGCACAGCAGTGTGGCTTCACATAAGTTTGCAAATGTATGTAACAACAACCTCTCTTTATAATCTGTCTCTTTATTTAATGTAAACATTGACGATTGTGACACTTCCCTGAGTTACAGGTCATCTGATATTGAAAATAAATAATAAATTGTAAAATAATAAATAATAATACATTGTAAATAATAAAATAATAAATTGGTAACCCAGTAAGACTGGCCCACTTGTTAGTGAAATGTTCCAAAAAGATATTATGGATATTATTGAACTCTTGTTATTTCCACTAGAGCACATTTTCTACAGAAATTATTATGAAATATACTGTACCTATGGTCATGGCTGGCAGGATGGATTTGGGTCGAAGATCTGGAGCACTCATAACAGGTGCTGATGTAACAAATGCATCATCGTCCAACATGTGGCTACCTTTGTTGAAGTGGCTTGGGGAGACAGTTTCTTTGCTTGGACTCGTACATGCCAAATCTGAAAATAGAAATATATACTGAAGAATGTACATAAGGACACAGACAGTAAATAATAAATACTAACATGGAGGACTTCGAGATCAAATTACAACTTAAACGTATGGCAAATATATATAAAGGAAATCCTGTAACTACATAACTAGTGTAAGTACATACATTTATATTTAAATCACTCCTGCAATACCCTAGGTCTGGAAAAGGGACGGCCAAGACTAGGAGCCAATCAGGCTCTGATAAAGTAAAACATTCTGACAGGAATGTGCTGACTTGAGAAAAGGGAAGACTCAACACCCTTTGCCTAGTGTCAGGGAACCAGGGGTGCTGTTCCTTACCAGGCTCGCCAGCGGTGGCGCAGGGCACTGGGTTCCCCTCCTCCTGGCAGGACTCCGGGGGCCGCTGGCTCGCTTGCGGCGCACGCGCGTAGTACACAGGCTGCATGCGCATGCACAGGGGCGCGAGCGTAGCGCGTCTGCGCCACTTAGTGCTTTCAGGTGCTAGCCAGGTTGGGGGAGGTCCCCAGCACACACCATCCGCCCAGTCAGCCCTGCTATTGGCTCCTGGTTAGGGAAGCTTCCTGGTCGCCTCAGCAACCAGGGTGTGGTCCTTGGGTTCCCTGTGTATTTAAACCAGACAGAGCTTTCGCTGATTGCTGAGTTATTCTACCTCTATGGTGTGATCACCAGCTCCATGTGTGTAAACCTGTTGCTTCCTGAACCTTTGCCTGAACCCCCGTTATCGACCCTTCGGCTTGCCTCCTCGCTTCTGTACCTCCCTGCCTGCCTCAACCCGGACTTGGACCTGACTACGCTTTTGGATTTTCCCTCTGTACTTCGTTTTTGAACTCTTTGTCCCTGCCAAGGGGTTCCACTCACGGCCCAGCCGTACAACCCTGACACCTAGGTTGATGATGAAGGGGTACAAGATGCTATTCCTATTTCTGTGGAGCAAAGGCACTAGATTTCAAAGATACGTTCCTACAAATCTCTGTATATAATAGAAAGCAATACTGAATCTTAGAATCACACATTATTGCTTGCTAGCCCTTCATAGTTGCATTATTGCAAGAAATGCTTACCTTAGCTATTTTTATCAGACAGAATATGGCAAAGCTGGGTGAACAGAATTAAGAAAAAGTATGCAGCCATACTTGAGACCATGGTTTTCTTTAAAGATTTACTTTAATAAAGTAGAGGGTTTGACATCTGCAACACCTCTTAGGAGCTGGAAAAACAGCCACTGGCCTATTAAGATGGACAATGCTCTTGTCATAGAGAAAGATACATTTTCAGAAGGAAGTTATGAAAGATCTATTTGAAATCTTTGCTTACCACTGAGAGATGAGCAGGAGAAGGAACGAGATAATTCCTGAAGTTGAAGGTCAGTCTGTTAAAATATTATATGTGAAACAATATCAGTTTTACTGGCTTATTTAAAAATTATGTAATATTAAAAAGCAAATTCCACCCAAAACTGAAAGCCACTGTTGGGTGCAGACACTGCTAATTTCTTATATCTGTTTGACACTACAATTGCAATATTTCCTTTTAAATCTCTACTCAGAAAAGGCCATAACAAAGGTGTCTCCCAATTATTTTTATATTATTAAGAATTAACTGGAGAAGCACAGCACAAGTATTGGCTTCGTAATGACATTGAGATAATAAATGGTGAACTCTGGACGGGCACAGCAAACATCTAGGATTATTGAGAAACAAAGTGAACCACCATGTGTTCAAACTTGCCAGCATAAACAAAGTGAACCACCATGTGTTCAAACTTGCCAGCAGCTATGCAAAACAAAAATATCAGTTGACCTTTATATCCAATAGAGGCGGGAGAGATGTGAGGGTTTTTTTTTTCAAACTGGGATTGATTAATGAAAACTTGAACAATGGAATTTGGAGCTAAATAGTAATGAGCCAAACATACTTGGGTTTGGTTCGAGGCAGGTTCACCGGACTGCACCGAAATTCTGAGCATTAATCCAAACCTCATTGAAGTAAATAAGAAGCCGAATCTTTAAAACCAATTCTGACCATTTCTAGCTCAATGAGCACATTTTTGTTTAAAAAAAAAGTGGGTAGCTGGGCACTACCTGATGGACATGTACCTATGCAAAACTTGTTTTTAAAGAATATTCAGCGGGGAGCTGCTCTTTTAATAATGCTTAAAGTGAAACATTAAAACTGCAAAATTCCTTCAAATAAAATGCCTATACCTGTCTGTGAAGTAGCACATCTATATGATGTATACAATGCACTACAGAAAAACAGACATTTAGAAAAAAAATAATGCTGGCAAATGACATTGACAAAAACATATTTTCCCCTCATATGTTCCCCTCAAGATCAATACCAGACCCTTATCCTTGATGAGGTCTGTCATTGAATTAAAATGTTTATTACTGATATTACCATCACCATTGAACAGTTAGCAACATGACTCCCAAATCTTTCTCCACCTCTGACTTTCCCAGTGGCGCTCCCATTAATGTGTAGTCTGCATTCATATTTTTACCCCAAAATGCATACTTAACATTTTACAACATTAAATCTCATTTGCTATGTAGTTGCCCACTCCCCTATTTTATCCAGGTCCTCCTGTACTGTTATGTCTAATCTCATGTTTATTACCCTGCCAATTTTAGCATCATCAGCAAACATGGAAACATGGCTGTTAACTGAATTAATATAATTAATAAACAAGTTAAACAGTATTGGGCATAGCAGAGAACCCTGTGGCACGCCACTCCCAACTTTAGACCAATTCAAAACAGAGCCATCGACCAAAACTCTGGACTGTTTGCTATCTATTTGCACACAATTTCATCAATGCCCATAGATTGTAGCTTGTAAATTGTAATTTACCAAATACAGCCATGGGGCCATATTAGGTCAAAGATGTCATCAAGATCCCCGCCCATTTGTTTACATTCATCTGCACAGTTGGGAATGCCCCACAGCTGAATGGAGCCAGGATCTGGCACTGGTTCCTAGGATGCTGGCGACTGTTGGCTACCTGGCAACCAGCAGCCCTTTGAGGAAGCTCCTACATACAGTAGCAGTAGTAATACTTTACTGTATGTGTCACTTTCTGCTAGATGTTTGGCCTTGGCAAACACCCAAACAAAAATGCAGAACATGCAAAATTCTAGGGTTGCACAGATACCAAGTACAGTACTTGGTACAAGTACAAGTACATGTACCGATACTTTTGAGCTCCAAGCCTAGACTAGAGAAACATTCAAAAATTAGGAGGCAGCTGTCATTTGTAAGGAGCACGCAGAGCTCCTGGGCTTTGTACATCTCTGTTTTAATGTACGATTTTGTTTTTATGAATATAAATGAAGGGATGCACAGATACCAGTTTTGCGAGTATGAGTACTGGTACTTGCAGAGTACTTCCAAGTACGAGTACTGATACATTTTTCTTTATTGTCAAGTGACAGTTTTTCTAAAACAATACAGACGAATTATTTCAGGACAGTGGTGGAGTGCCAGAGCCAGGTCCCAGCTGCAACCGCGGCAACCCTGGTAGTTCTCATGAAAATGCCAAGTATCTGCACTGGTACTCGAAAAGTATCTGTACATCCCTACAAAATTCCCCAACTGAAACCCATGTTTGGCCCAAACCCGAAGCTCATCCCTAGAGCCAAATGGTGTTGTTATCCATAGCATTTAAACAATTTTGTTTCTGTGACAGAGCAGTTTTTGCAAATGTAATAAATTAATAAGTGAGTGTAATATTGCTAACAAGGATACCTTACCCACTCCACAGTGCTATTATTACAATCTCATTTCCCTTGTAGAGATTCACCTTACTTCCTGTTCTAATGACCACAATGGAAATCACAGAAAATTGCCCAACAGAGACTCTACTGCAATAAAATCTAACAGAGGTTTCTGATCTTTCCCCTCTATATCAATAACAGTCCTTATATTTGTCTCCTTCAGATTTTCCAAAAGATAGAGAAAATATATGCTACACACCTGAAAATCAGGAGGGGACATGCTTTCCCCTGTAACCAATCCATCTCCCTCATCTTCTCTGTCTCCACTGGCCTCTTTCTTCAGCAAAGCCTCTACACGTTGGATTATGTCCTTAATCCTGTTGGTAAAGCTTCCTCTTTCTGACTGCATTATGAACTCATTGTTCACCTGGGGAAAAAAACAAGGTTTAATTAAACACAGATACTGCACTGTTAAATGTTACTAGGCTCATAGTCAAGACCAAGGGGGTTATTCACAAAGCTGCCGAAGTGAATAACCCAACCGAAGTGAAGTGAGCCGAACTACGTACATCGGCTAAAATCAACGGTACATCGGCTGCCTTTGGTCAACCAAACATGCTCTACTTAGCCGATCCAACATCTGGATCGGCTGAGCCGAAGCTCTGGCAGCTCACTCGATGTCGTTCACCTATATTCTCATTCTTATTGTTCCATATACTTTACTATTCTCAGAGGTTCTGAGCTGAATAGCAAAACAGTTAAATGAGGACCTGCTAGAATCTTCTAGCAGGTCCCAGCCAATGAATAACAACTGCCCAGTTGTTATTGTTTAATGACAGATCAGCTTCCCCAGGTCATTTGGGGACGCGGATCTGTCATTACAACTGGGCGGAGCGAGCCGTGAGATGACGGCTGGCTCCACCCAGCTGTCATTTGCGGAGCAAATGGCTGGCCTTCGGCAGGCTGTTCTCCCCACTTCGGCTGTCCCCGCTAACTCCGCCCAATTGGGTTTTTTTGTTCGCTTTTTTATTTTCTTTAAAATATCTTTTAATTTATTTTACTATTTGTTTACATTTTTAACCACTTCAAGACCAGGTGTTTAGACCCCCTTCCTGGCCAGGCCATTTTTCAGTATTCAGCGCTGCGGTACTTTGACTGACGTTTATTCCGTCATGCAACGCTGTACTGAAATGAATTTTATACCATTTTTTGGGGACAGATAGAGCTTTATTTCGGTGGTATTTAATCA